AGGCACATGAGATAGAATAGAAACAATTGTTAACAATGCACAGCCAATAGAAAACATCTGACAAACCACCCACATGCTAAAAGTGCCTTGTCCAAACGATTCAATGCATAATTAACAAATGTGTCTGCAGAAATCTGCCCATTAACAATTTCCAAGTGGAAAACAGGGATGGATCCTGCATTTTCAGACTATCTGTACTGGATGTAGTAGGACAGTAGGGTTGCATCCTCGTGCTCCCAGAGAACAGAATCATTCTTTGTCTACATATACGTTGCTCAGAGCAGTTCAGTTTAAGTTAACAGAAGGTATGGAATTGGTGAGTATAAAGGAGGTGCAACAAACCCAGTCTGGGCATTTTCACTGAAAACAAAGTTGCATAAATATTTTGCCCACTCCAAGGATCCAGTGGGTTGATCTTGGCCAGTGGCTAGGCACCCATCTGTGCTCTCTCAATCCTCCTCAGAAGAGGAGCTCAAAAATTTCATGACTCAGAATGAATTAGATAATTTACCAATTACTGTCACAGAGAAAACAAACTCAGCTTGGGGACTTGAATACCTTGCAGTAGACCAACAAAACCCTGCTAGCTGAAATACCAATCAACCTGAGTTGTGACCTTTTAGAGTAGACAGGTGTTGGAGTAAGTACATGACTGCATAGAAAAGACTTTTTGTTTGGACAGAATAACAATCATTATTCTTGTTAATTGAGGTAAACTTTGAAGGAACTATGCAGACACACTGATTTGTATGTAAACATCATTTGTTTCCCATCAGTTTTGAACAGCTACTATTTCTCTGTATAGAGTATGGATTTTAAGCAGTCACTGTTCCAATGCAGGTAGTTAGAAGTAGCTTTTTCTGCAATATCTCTTGAGTCTGGTTTCCCTTTTTTGGGCAAGACTCTTAGAAACTGTTCCAGCTAGTGTGCAAGAAAATTTTTGATGGCAGAAAATTCTGAGTTTCACTGGTACCTTTGTATTATTTCACATTCTAGGATAATTAGAATAAGCAAAGAGTTTATTTTCAGAGTTATTTACAAGATCATCCATAGTTCAGGAAATAAATAATTAATACAATTATAATTGTAATAATCCTCTGTACAGACTTGTGATATTCTTTTAGTGTTTTAGGATTTTGCATAAATGAGTAGCTAAAAATGTCTACATGAGGTCAGATGGGTCTGTCTACCTAAGCCAGTATCCTATCTAAAACAGTAGCCAAAATACCAAGTTAGCTTGGCCTAGCATGACATATTCAGCTTTCAGTATATGTAACACTCTAAGAAGCCATGCAAACATTTTCTGTCCTGAACAGACATTGAGTAACCACTATGAAAGTACTGGAAGAAAATCCTCCTCAGGTTTCTGCCTGTGTTCACTTCCCAGTGACTGGGGTCACACCAGGCTATGCCCCATCCCTCCTCCCACCTCCTGGTTTTCAATGGAATAACATGGGTCAGTAGCAGAAGGGAATAGTGATAGTAACCAAGGTTAGTGATCTGGGCAACCAAGAGCTGTGGGGCAAGAAACACCCCACAACTTGGTTGCCAGCTATACAAACAGAGACCTAGTCAGCCAAAGTCAGTCAGAACATTTCCATCATAGTCCTCTAGAAGCGTTTCCTAACCATGGCCTTTTATCTGTTCAGAAGCATCGGCCATCCCATGGTGGATGTCACAAGCCCTTCACTTGTAGCATAAGAGTCTCAGGGGGAAGTCTTTAATAGATCTGCATCAAATGAACAGTAGATGGACACAGAATTTAAGCAACCTTCCTTAGTCACTAAAATAATGGTATTTTATCACCACAATAAACAGGAAGTGACAACTCCATATATTCTCTATCTATCCATTTGTCTGGGAAAATCTCTATGCCTCCCATCATGAGACACATGAAACAGTTAATATGAAGACCACTAACCACACAGGAATGGCACTACCATTTTATTCTTTTTTGAGGGGAGAAAATTCAGTATCGCCTTTTATTTCCATAAAATTACAGTTTTGTTTACCAATCCCTTTAGTCTTCAGTAGTAGTTGGATGCTTGGAGGCCAGACCTGAGGATTCTCAGAAAATCCTAGCCTAAAGCCTGCCTTCCTGAGTAGGCTGCACTATTTAAACTTTAAATGGTCCATAAGCCCCTCTATTAGATATGTTTATAGAAATCTAAAATCACATATTTGCACTAATACTTTCTAACATCTGCATGTTGCAAGAGATGACTAAGAATTCAGAAAAAGAGCAAAATTAATGAGAAGAATTGGAACAGCTCTATTTAAACCAGACCAAAGGACAAGCTCCCTTGGTATCACCCTGCAACACTCTGTTAAGCTTCTTAACCTGAAGGTTTATACCATGCAGCTTTGGGTAAAACAAAGGTTAGTACTGGTCAATGTTTCTTTCACCACTACAGTGGCTTGCTTTTTGAAGCCCACACATGTTTGCAGCTTCCCACTACATCCTGTGGCAATGAGTTCCACCCTTTAATTATGATCCTTGTGGAAAGCATCCTCTCTTGGATTTCATGTTTTAAACTTGTCAGCCATTCATTTTATTGTAACTGCTTCCTTTGCTATGCAATAAAGTGAAAACCCTTCTTTATTCACTTTCACAGTACTGCTCATTATTGTCCTGGGGCTCTCTCACAGTCTTTTTCCTCATTTGTCCCTCTTCCATATGAAAATCCTAAAGCCTTTTCTTTTTCTTTCTTAGTACAGAAACTATTAAATACCTTTGATCATCCTGTCACCCTTTTCTTTATCCTCCTATTGCTATCCTGTCATTTTTGAGATGACTGGAACTGTATTCAATATTCAAAATGCTAGGTGGGCAATGGATTTCTTTGGCAGCATTATCATGTTTCTTCTGTTTTCTGTTCTATTCCTAGTATTTCCTAATATACTGCCTTTTTTTTTTTTTTTTTTTTTTTTTTTTTTTTTTTTTTTTTTTTTTTTTTTTTTTTTTGATAGTTGATGTGAATTTAGGTGACATTTTCATAAGGCTGTCTAAAAGCTCTCTTTCCCAACTAGTAGTTAATTTCACTGTGTGTTTATAGATTTACCAGGGTACAGGCAGGACAGCTTAGTCATTTAACCTTGAAAACGCAGCTAAATTATAAGAGGAGTTGGGCTGTAAATGGAAGAATGTTGGTACAATTTCATACTTGCTCAGTTCTACTGGCAACTTTTATTCTTCTAGGTTTTGTTATACCAGAGGTTTTTCTCATATATGTGAGGCAGTGTGAATGTTCACCACAGATCTCGCTGTTTTAGTGGGTTGTTGATTATTTTAGCAGAACATTAATTCTAACAGAAAACTCATTCAGTAAAGAGTTCATTCAATGACTTTTAGAGAAAGTTTAGCTAATTTTGCCACTGTAAGGCATATCCTGACCAAAACCAAACTTCAATATCAGGTAGAGATGCATGGCATTTCAATCTTTTTCATAGCTGAAATGTTCTATTAGTATCATAATGATTGCTAAAATGTAGTTCTGGAGCTTAATGAAATCTGGAATTTAATAAATCACTTCGGTACTGTAAAAACCTAGCTGTGACAGAACTTTTAATAGTTGTTTCTAAAAGGGTGCTGACAAAATAAATATATTGCTGCAAGTCGATCAGTCTCATCTCTGACTTTAAAAAAATTGCAGTTATATTTTAATGATTGCTGTCAAAAATTCCTTAATGGGCCAAAGACACCTCAGTATCAAATTACAAGTAGAGATCTTTTCTAAATGAGGTTTTCATCTGTCTCCTTTCATGGAGTGGTAGTCATTTGACTTTGTCCTTGTTACTATAACCTTTTGTTTTAAAATTTGTGGCTGCACTACAGTACAGAAGGTAGAGATCTATGAAGTTTTCCTGTTAATGCAGTTTTCTCTGAGGAACATTTCTGCTCCTTACCATTTCTGTTCATTCCTATGTGTTATAGGCAGAGTTTTATTAGTATAGATTTTATATCTCCATTCTAGTCTAAGTCCTGGGGATCTTGGAAAGATTGACAGTGGAAACATTATTTCATAGCTGAGGTGGTCTGGCTTTGGCCAGCAGCCAGGTGCACATCCATCTAGTCTCTCACTCCCTCCTCTCGGCAGAACATGAGGAGAAAATATGATAGAAAATCTTACAAATTGGAATAAAAACAAGAAGATAATTCAGTGATTGCTATGATAGGTTAAAAAAAAAAAAAAGGCCAGGCAAATTTGGGGAAAATTAATTTAATTTTTTCCCAATTAGAAATAGCATAGGAAAGTAAGAAACAAAGACAACACTAAAGCCTCTTTCCCTCTGACTTTTTCATAGGCTCAACTCCACTCCTTAATTCCCAACTCCCTTTACTCCTTCCATCACAGCCTGCATAGATGGAAGCACTCATCTCAGTCTTTCAGTTACATTTTGATTTGAAGAGCTAAGAGGGCTTCTTGATACAGGCAACTCCCCTGTCTGTTAAGGACAATTGGAAATTACAAAGCTAGACTTTAATGAATATAAGTAGAATAATGTTTAAGTACAAAGGGATAGTCTCAGCTATTAGACCATGAATTAGGAAGCCAAATACATTACAACTAGTCCAAAAGATAGCAAATGAACTCATAGTCATTTGTTTGAAAGACATTTAGTGATATGATTTTCTGTGCTTGCTTTGGAAAGTCATTTACTCCAGTATATTTTTATTTAAACAAGAAAGGAATCAGACCTTTTTCATTTTCACTGTTGTGTGTCAACTGTAAGAGCTTAGAAATGTAGGTATGCAAGAAAATAAGTTATATAATTGCTCTTCTCATTGTTCTGACTCCCTATGCACTCCGGGAAGTTTGATCTGAGCAGTTCAGCTTCTGGAAGCCCATAAAATCCCTACAAATCCAGTTGAGAAATAAAAACATATTTTATGAATTAATAATCTCATAAAATGGGAAAGCAATCTATGTTGGACAAGTTTTGGTTTAGTATTTGACAGGTGACAAAATTACTAAATCCTTGATTCTTTTCCTTTTCAGAGCATACTCAACACTTTTAGATATCTTGAGATTGCAAAAGCTGACCATCAACAGCAGGTTTTTAAATATCACTGCTCTTCTGACAAGTAAGTTCTCCATTCCAGGTTGTTGTTTTTGTTTTTTTTTTTTTCTCACTGGTATTCCTGACTTGTATTTTATTCTTGTATTTATTATATGGACTATCACATTCATTTTCTGGGCCAAGTAAACATGAGTGCAAATTTAATAGTATGGAGCTGCTCTTAAATTTCCCAGTTAGAATGAAACCTATCAGTATTACAGATAGAGCTGAGATAAAGCATTGACTCACCTGTTTGTCCCAACTTGTAGTGCTAATGGAACTGTGGTCATATCTCTGGATCTTTTAGGAACATCTTTCCCATTGAAATATTTTAGGGTGGAAAAATTAAATCATTTAATTATTTGTATGTTCTTGCTGGACCTAGGGAAAGGAAACTAGAAAAATTTGGAAACTGCTGGAAATAATTGTGTCTGAGGATTGTCTCTACATTTAGAGGAAAGAGTGTTAGAAGAACTGGGAAGGATTGGGAAAAGTGGAGAGGGAAAAAAATTTGCATTGGAATGAGGAGGAAGAGGGTCCTTACTAAGAGGAATAGAAAAGAAAGTTCCTTTCTGTTCAGCTCTTGTTGAGGGAGAGCTTCAGAACTTATTAAAATTTTAGTTTTCCTGTGCATAAAGTTTAACTTTCATAAGAGACTGCATTATAAAGCACAAAGTTATTCTAAACAATGAAGTTCACTTATCCTAACTTCTTAAGTGAGAGATCTTATATATCCAGAGACTGCGGCTCCAAAAATGTCAATGGAGATTCTCACAGCACTACCAAATTTCATCTTTTTTTCTATTTTCATAAAACTGCTGTAATTACTATGTTATTTTCTACTTCTTGGAATATATTTCACTTATTTAACTTCAGTGTATCCAGTAGATCTATGAAATGCAGTTCTTGGTTACAGGTTGGTTCAGTTTTGACAATCATGTTTTATTACTCTGTGGATGATTGGCATTGAAATTTTAGGATTTTCTTTCTTTTTTGCCACTGCATATTTCTGAGATAAAGAAGAGAATACATTGAATTTAGTTCATACTGCATTAAACATTTCATGACCTTGTATATCATAATTAAGCATGTTTAGCTACCAGCAGTCTCCAAAAGTCTTCTGATGTATTATTTTTTACAAATGAAAAAAAGTATAAATAAATAGTGCATATAAAGAATATGCACTATTTAATAACTGCCCATGGGAATTAAAATCTTTGCCTTTATATTTATAAAACATCTTCTTTCTTATTGCTTGTTTGGTTGCTTATCAGGCATTTTAGCAATAAGCACACAGCCCAGCTTTTGAGTCTTATTTGGGGTCTTAAAGGATCCCAGGGTCATGGTTTCTATTTCTCTCTTCCCAGGAAGCAGAAATCCTGAATATCTCACGTGTTACTAAGTGATCCACCTGTTGCATTTCTGTGTGGCTCACTTTCCTATTTGGTCCAGAACACATGAGAGACGTGGATAACAATACAAGTTTCCATATCTACTTAAGTGACCATTCAGTTGTATTTTGCTAAGAGGACAGACAGGCTAGAGCAGCTTCCATTCTTCTTGGATTTGTCTGTGAGATGCAGTTTTGAAGCTCTGTCCTGTTTACCATGAAAAGCAGACCGTACAGAAAATGAAAATGTTTGGCACAATGAATCCAAGCTTAATAATTGAATTATTGAATCTCTGTGGCATTAAGCATGTCAGGACTGTGCACGAAACTGATTTATTGGTTCATCAACCCAGGAAATAAATAATAAATTGTGAGTCAGTCTGAATGGAGAAAACAAAGGGTTTAATTTTGAGATGAAGCAGGAGGGGCAAGTTGCAAGGAAGAAGTTCCATTTCTGCTTAGACAAAATTAATTTATTTTCATTAACAACATTGTGTTTGAGGCAAATGCTACAAAAGCAAAGGAGAAGGATAGGCATATACCCACAGGTTATGCAGTGGTGGTCGTTTTATTTTGTAGTACAACATTGTAATGGTCACAGGATAAATCTCCTCTTCTACTAAATAATATGGGAACATAAATCCCTCATCTCTGATCATAGTACCTATCAGCTTCCTTGGTTCTATGGTATCCCCAGCAAAGTATTTATTAGAGTTTATTTCAAACTATTCAGTGTTCTCATAAAACATTATCTCTACACAATGTCAATGGAGCACGTGCTAAATGAAAACATTGTAGAAAATACTTTGCAAGAGGAGTCGTAATTGAGGGAGAGTTTTTGCTGAAGATTTCATCAAGGTTCACAATTAGAGGTTTTCAGTATTTTGCAGACAACCTGGAAGCTGACAGAATATCCTTGTCAATGAAATTTGCAAATGATACCAACAGTCCGGACCACTAGCTCTATCAAGCACCTGGGTTGCTTGGTAACCTCAGCCCATCTATGTATAGCAACATACTGAATTTAGGGCTGAAGAGTACTAGCTTAATCAAGAGAAAGAGGAATTGTGTTCTCAGTGGTCCTAACCTTTGAGGGAATATATCAGGAATAACAGCAGATAAGCAACTTCACTGTAAAAATTGATAGCATAGAACAGAGGTTGTTGTTTTGGTTGTGAGTCTGACTTTGGTGAGACTGATACCAGAAGGATGTGTTTTGGTGCCTCTGCTTTAAGAAAGAGTGCTGTAAAAAACATAGAGGGTTAGAAGAAATCATCACTGCCTTTCTTCTGTGCATTTACTTTGTAATTAGTTTTCTGGAAAAGGGTTTGTTCCCCTCAGTTGGTATTATTAAAGTATTCTGGCTTTCTGCCAAAGTGTAGCAGTAAATAATACAGTGGTTGACCTCACTAGTTGATAATCTAGACTAGTTCAGTATTACCCAAAAAAATAAAGTGGGTAACCTCATTTTATATCGTCTTCTCCCTGCTTACTGTATTGTTGACTGGCAGTATAATTCCTGTAGTCAAAACAATGATGGGAGAAAGGACTTTGATCACTATAATCAGTCCTGTTCCACTGCTGTGAGAATATCATAGGACAGATCATTTTGACTGCTACTTTGTTTACATCAAGTACTTATATATTAGTAAAAGTGGACCTGTACTGTTGCATTTAGAGAAGTTCATAAAGATTCCTGATATATTTATTTAGATTCTTGATATTTGCTTTTTGTTTTCTTGGAAATCAATGAATGACATTTCACATTTTATATTTATTTATTTATTATATATATTAAGGGGATTTATTATTCAAATTAGCCATTCTTTGTACTGAGTTAACAGATCAGTGTGGTTTTTTCTGTGCCCTGCAAGATTTTAGAATTAGCAAATTTCAGTCTCTGCCATGGAGCTTTTCCCTACAGTAGAAAGTAAGATTTTCTGCCTTTATCAGCTCTCAAGAGATAGCATTGCATGAACTAGATATTGCATAAAGCTAACCTGAATAAAGTGAAGAAAATACCTTCTTTGAACATGCAGAGAAAGCTACACATATCTAACTTGGACTAAACACTTCTGTCAGAGGCTGTTTTCTCCAGTCTCCCAGATCAGTGGTTTGATAGTCAGCAAATATTTACCAACAGACACATAATACTTGAATATTGCATGTTATTTAATGTAAATCCAGATATTGAATTTAAGAAGTTTGGCAGTACATTGTTAAAAATTCATTTTAATTTTAAATTATCTTGTATGATATTAAAGGATAATTTAATATTAAAAATATATATTTAAATTGCAAAAAATGCACCTATTAAAAATACTAACAGCAGTTTCAGCAAAATCTATTCTTGTATTTAAAATTATGCATGACTTCCTATGCAAGCTGCCTGCAGGACAATGGAAAATGAAGCAAGCAGCTCTACTTTGCATGGCTGTTTGGAAACCCTTGAGGTATTAAAGAAGTGAAATAATGGTTTGCCTAAGGCAACAGCTGTGTTAAACTTACATGTTGATTTGTTTATTTATTAAGCATAACAAAAAGGCAAAATACTAAATTAATTATCTTAGTGAAAATAAACAGAAATATTGCCATTAAAAATATATATTATTTCTTATTTAGGGAATTTCAGAAACAGATGAAATGGACACTGAGATATAAAGGGAATATATATATTTTTGGTTCAGCTTTTGAAGATAGCATCCAGGCAAATATATTTGAGTTCTGTTTGGTATTTATACAATATGAAGAAAAAAAGAAGCTAAATGTGTATTTGATCTTTCTTTTTTCCTAGAAATGCACCTTGAGTCTTAGACACTACTCCAGCTCTGTAATGTAAAATTCTGTTCAAATGACTGTAATGCATTTACTTTCAGATATTTTTTTCTTTCTCAGATTTCTAGCAGAATTTCTGTAGTAGAAGCCAAATGGTACCAAATTCTTTGCTGTAGAAAAAGGCACAGCAAAATTCAGATGAATGTAAAAAGACTATAAATAAAAAACATTAGCCTCTGACCCAACAATTGTTCAGAAACAAGAGCAATTATGTAGACAAATGGTGCTGATCACAATCTTTCCCCACAGTGTGGCAATTGCTCGGCATAGAGCAATCCTGAATAAATAGATGTGCTTTTGACATCAGCAGGATGGAGTATGCCTGCCCACAGTGAGATAGAGCAGTCATTGACTGGGCTGACAGCTATAACAAATAAAGATCTTGGCTCAACGGGAGATGTTGAGCACCTGTGACACTTGTCTTTGCTAATTCAGATTTTTGCAGTTGAATGCAAGAGTGAATATGAAGGGTCACAATCACCTGGTTGGAGGGGAGTGGGCAGCAGAGGGGACTTCTGAACAAGGAAATCAGTTTTAGGGAGCCTCTAATCAGTCAAGAAATGCCAATGGCACCAGACACAAAAAAAGCAAAAATTCAGATTTCAAATTGTATTCAGGGATTACCTGTGTCCTCAAGATTTTGTTCTGGAGCAGGCATTGCCTGCTTTTGCTGCCCATAGTGAACCCACAGGAAGCACCTTCACTCCCTGCAGCAGTGGAAGCTCTTTGCAGCCCTCCCTTCCTTCCTAGAAATGTGTCTGTGGCCCCAGGCCTGATCCTGATCCCTCAAAGGGACCCTT